TTAGTGTGTTGGATTGATTGCAATGAATTTACATGTGAAATAAATACATGTGGAGATGGTTGATTGTAATTTTTATTTGTTTATACTTGTGATTGAACTGGGTTTGTTGTATACAGGTTAAAAAATTTTGAAAATGTCCAATTTTCAAAGGAAACTCTGCCCAATTTTTTTAAAAATACCGTTACATTTATTAATGTGTGTTCAAAATTTGTATTACAGATGATATGGGAGCCCTATACAGTTGATGTAATGGGTGGCCTGCCAAATTATTGCCTTATTGGGCAAAATATTTGGCGCACACGAGCTCCTTTGATTTGCTGCGATGTCGTGGAGTGGCATTTTTCAGATCGGGTTACTCGACAGTTTAGGCTGATTCAGCGTATACCACCGCCATGTGATACTAGTCGAGCCTTGCATGCTGTAAACCATCGAGGTAGATCTGGTCAAGATTGGTCAGTAGTTCATTAGATCTATACAGAGATGTGGGCACATCGTAGAGATACTATTGTTACCAGAGATCTGAGTACTGGACCGATGGATCCGACCGACGCATACATGCAATGGTATCATTGGATGACACGGCATCCTGTTGGTCCACCCATCGCTAGGGCGACTGTCGTTTTTCAGCCAGTTGGAAGCATCATAGAGCTTCTGGTAAGATGTTAAATGCTTAACTATTCAATTTGAATGGATAATGTTACTAATTGTTTAATACATTTATAAATTTTTTTCAATATTATTTGTAGGAACAAACACTTACACAAATATATCACACTGGACGTACTACATATGAGGGCAACCCAGACTTTTCATATTGCATGGACACCATTGGATGTATGACAGATATGACGTCATCGTGTTTGACAGCTCTCCGAGAGCACCGACGACTCGACGCAGCTTCATTGTCGGCAGATGACATACCGTCTACATTTGCACAACCACCTCCACATCTTTACCAAGATTGGACTACTCTAGTATATTCACCATCAACATCGACACAAGCTCATGCACCTTCACCGACCGCAGCTTCTACACCGATCGCTAGGCCGACACATGAGCCTGCACTGACACCTTTAGCTGCGCCGACACTTGAGACGACACTGACACCGACGGCGGCACCGTCATCTGCATCTGTAACTGACCATTTACTGACACCAGCATCGGTACATGTATCCACTGCGACGATCGCATCAACACTGATACCGACACCGACCTCGACATCTACCATGACACTAGGACCGGTATCATCATCTGTACTTGATCATCTATCGGCACAGGCACCGACACTCGAAGCTACCCCGACACCGACACTGACATCGAGACCTTCACCTACTATTGCACATGGCCAGACACCAACACCTACGCTGGCATCGGCATCTATCCCGATACAGACACTAGCACCGGTCTCTACCCCGACACCTGCGCTGGCATCGGCATCGACATCTACCCCGACACTGGCACTGGCACTGGCATCTACCCCGACATCGGCACTGGCACCGACATTGGCATCTACCCCGACACCTACACTAGCATCGGTATTTATCCCGATATCATCTGCAGTTGATTCTATACCTACCTCTGCTACACAGCCTCTCGTATCAGATCCATTATTAGATAAGGAGGGAGTAACACAGGATCTTACAGTTGTCAATGCAGGCCTTGTGCGAGTCGAGCCATGAGTTAAAGGTGGACGACAAGGTCGGGGACGGGGGCGAGGGATAGGCAGAGGGCGTGCACAGCATGCACATCATCATGATGATGTCGATGTGTCACAAGTGACACAGGATGTATCACAGGATGTTGAGCAGGACGTTCGCATACAGCCGAAGCGACGTAGGCGACCACCTGCGTGTGGGACATGATATGATATTCATGTATTTGATGCATTTTTTTTTGTTATACTGTGTACTAATGTTTGATTTTGTATATACATTGTCATTTATACAAAGATGTTTTGTTCTAATATTCTACAATCAAATTGTCATATACATAACTTCACCATCATAACAAATCTAATTGACTTCAACATTACACGTACATTACATTTCACATGTAAAAATTAACACTAAAATAACATGATCTACACAGAACAACACTAACATACAACTTCTTCACACAACACTATGTTGTTTTCTACATCAACCAAAATATTGACAGACTGTATTGCTTACAGTTTGATGTAATAAATTTGTTATGTTGTAATGTATAAGTAATATTTTTAATATTTTAAAGTTCAACACAATTTTGTAGGTCAACTATAAATGTTCGATGAACTTATAACATATAATTAGAATATATACTATTTTAACATATACAACCATGGCCTTTAAAGTGACGTTTTTACAAAATAAACTTGAGTTTGAGAAATAAAGTTTTAGAGCCGACTAGGTTTGGGGAAAAGCTCCTCCATATTAGGATACTTTTATGATGTGAAAAGTGAGATTATAATATTGATATTTTTAACATATACAAAACATACTTTTTGATAGAAGAATTGTGCTTTCAAAACACGATTTTAAGTTTTTTTATAAAATATAATATGAAATTAAATTATGCTTTTATGAATTTTATTTTCAATTATAAAATTAGTTAAAATTTTAATGAAAAGGAAACTAAATTCCAAAATTTATTTAATTTTTTTCTGGTGAATCATAATGTGAAGAAACATAAGGTGAGGTTACGTTATTTAGCTTTTATGACATTTGGGGTAGAAAACATCAATGTAAAAGGTTAAGGGGTAAAAAACGTCAATATAAAACGCTAAGGGAATTAAATTCTAAAATTTATTTATTTTTTTATGTTTTGTTTGCTGAATTATGGTATGAGACATACTAAAGTGGAATAGAAAATATCAATGTAAAAAGGCTTAAGGGGTAGAACACATCAATGTAGGCTGCTAAGGGGTAGAAAAACATCATTAGTCTGTAAAAGTGAAGAAAACGTAAACACGTCATTCAACTTGACGTTTTCTTTCTTATATTTTTTTTCATGTCTGTTAGGGATCCGTTAAAAATTATTGTTAAAAAACGTCATTACAAATGACGATTTGAAAAACGTCATTCATAATGACGTTTGTGGACAAAAATATTCAACTTTAAATCGTCTTTGAAAATGACATTTTTACACCCGAAGGCGTCAATGAAAATGACGTTTTCAAAAATAAGCTGGGTTTGAGAAATAAGTTCAAAAATGACTGGGTTATGAAAATAAGATTTTAGGGAGACTGGGTGTGAGGAAAACCTCGTTTGGCAGAGACAACTATTAACAGTAAGGGGTGTCATTAATTCAACAATAAAATCTACAAGGGGGTGCAGTAAAATTTTAGAAGAAGCAGGGGTGTCATTAAGTATATGGATACCTACAGGGCGTGTAAATGAAGTTTAACCTAAAAATATGGATAACTCATATTTTATAACCTAAACGATTTTAAAATTTTTATCTTATATTTTTAAATATTAAAATTTTCACATTAGACCCTCAATGTATTAAAAATGTTATAATATGATGCTTCTGTTAGTTTTTCATTAGTTTTTCCTTCAGTGTCAATGAGTTGATTTTTGATAACAAAAAATTACAGAAGCTAACAGAAAAGGTAATATTATATTATTTTTGATACATTGATGGTGCAATACAAAAATTTAATTTTTAAGGATATAAAATAAAAATTTTAAAATCTTTCAAGGTACAAAGTGTAAAAAACCCTAAAAATAAAAAAGACTTGCATCACTGTAGAAGATACCAAATATTCAGGGGTTCAAATGCAATAAATTAAACAATAATATAATACTTTAAAATTAGATATATCAAGGTGATCAAAAAATTAGGGGGCAAGTGCCCAACTTGCCATAACCTGGCTCGGCTGATCATAATCTTAGTGCAACGTCTTACAAAACGCAGGTCTGAAATTTAAAGTATTTTCATCCCTTATTTAGGTTATATTTGGTAAAATTGAAAGTTGAATACTGAAAATTAATTGTTGAATTTTAAGTGTTGAATGCTGAATTTTTTAATTCGTAGACTATTTGTTATCAATTAAAATTTAAGTATTGAATTAATCAAACCATTTAACAAATATAAGAAGGTGAAGTTTGAAAATTATTATTATTCTAAATTTATCTTTCTCTTTAATCGTCTTTCTGCAACTTCCTTATTCGTATCACCACTATCATAAAATAGTGGTAGTGGAGAAAGTGTTGGTAATGGTGCTGACATAATGGTAGTGGTGACATAATGATAGTGATGGCGATGACACAATGGTAATTGTGGCGACAACGATGATGATAGTGATGGTGGCAGTAACACTATGGTGGTGGTGGTGGCAATGCTAATGATAGTAGCATAATAATGACTGTGGTGATGGTAACAGTGGTGTTGATAGTAACAATGGTATAATGGTGGAAGTGGTGGTGATATAATGGTAGTAGTGGTGACAGCGACACAATGGTGGTGGAGACAATGGTGATGGTAACATAATAATAGTGGTAGCGGCAACGGTGGTGGTACAATGGTGGTGGTGGTAGTGACGATGACACAATGATGATGAGGGTATATTTATTCATTATGAAAAATTGATAAAATTTTTACTAATTAATAGTTTTAGTATTAAGTGATAAGTAAGTGACTTGTTATTTAAAATTTTAGCCTATTTTTATGAATTATTTAAAATATTAGCAATATGAGTTTTAAGTTACTAAACAAGTTTAATTTATTAAATGTTTAAAATATTCAATTTTAAGCTTTAAGTAATGTTATCAAATAGCTCTTAACCAACCACTAATTGCACTAAACTCCAAAAACTTACGATGACGAAGCGCGAAATTGTAAACAATAGGGCGTCTAAATGTAATTCACCCCAACACAAATGATACGGAAAGCCGACCTCTATGTGTCCCCGAGATCTCCCTTTCTCTGTTCTTCCATCCTCCATTCCTCTGAAAACTCTGCGAATTTCCTCATTTAATATCATTGCTTGATCTGGTTCAATTTCCGGATCAATCCCAATGAGGATTCGGAAATTTTCAATGAACTCCGTTTCTTCTCCTCCTCCTCCTCCTCCTCCTCCTCCTCCTCCTTTATCTTCTTCGCCATCTTCATCATCATGCTCATTGATCACCACCCATTCTTTTGCATCATCCACAGATTCGACCTCTTCAGTACCATCAAATTGTACTTCTTTTCCATCAATCGCTTCAACCCGTTGCGAAGGTCTTGATCTACTGGTGAAGGCAATTCACCATGTTGCATCAGGATCAGTAGTGGGAGTGCCGTATATACAGAAAAGAGTGATCAGGCGAAGAAGAAGAGCTCTCAGATTCACCAAACTGAACATAACCCAAATTTTTCTGGAGAAAAAAGAACCAGAAGTGGGAAAAAAAGAAGTCCAAGTTCAAGCAAAGTCGAAGCAGAAGAGACAGAGGAGAGCAATGGCATTGCCATCTAAGTACCATGATTCTGTTCTTCAGCCATGGAAACAAGTGAGCCGGCGACAGAGATCCATCAAGATCCCTGATGAAATGGGTTCGTAAGTAGCTGCTTTTCCTGGGTTCTGCATATTTGATCTTCAGCTTTTCTACCACAGATTCGCAGTAATTGTTACTTCATTGCTCATTATTCTTATAGTGGCAAGTGGGTATTTTACTGCTCAAGAATTATGTGCTTGATTTACTTTTACTTCTCTCGATCATTGGGAAAAAAAATGAAATTTTGTATTGGGTTTAAATTTTATTCGGATCTATGTATATCAGATCACTAATTCAATACTAGAGATATGTCCTATTTTTTATTTTGGCTACTATTGTTTAAGGTGCTACTTAAATTTTTCTCTACTGAATTTTTAAAGAATTTTAAGTCTTAAAATGGTGTTGATGATGTCTTTTAAAGTATGTTTTTAGCATAGATTCTGAGGAAAAAAGTTTACAGAATAAAAGTGAGAATGTATTTTATAAATAAAGATGGTGAAATTGATCCTTGGATGTGAGAGGAAGGTTCCATTTTTAGCTAAATTTTCTGTTATATAGCTCTGCCTCAGCATTGGTTTTGGGGTCTTGTGATTGTTATAAACTGGCAGTTAGGATTTTAGCAGCCGGATCATCCTGTATTAGGTGTTGTGATCCAAATTGAAAGTTTGATACCCCTTGAGAGAACGCCATTTTCATTCTATAAACTTTGTATTTTGTTTAACGGGATCGTTCTAATCCTTTGGAGTTAGGGTTACATTATAACATTAGATGCATAAAATCATTCACAAATGACATAGAGCGGTTAAATCCCAAGGTTTATGTGGCCAGGATTATTCTCTAAACTTTCACTAGGATCAAGTTTGGAAAATGTCCATTATAGTAAACTGGATTGATGCATCAGATTTCTCATGATGTGAAAATTGCCTTCCTAATCTCTTTTTTTCTTCACACTATGTTCTAGGAACAAACAGTGCCAAATAGCTCAACATGTATATTAATTGATGTGCTAATATAATTTATAACTACACATTGTACAAATTTGCTTCTAACAGTCATAGATAACGCACAAATGTATACTGGCATACATACGATTAAGGATTTAGTCGTTGTGGCATATTTGAGTTATGTTGGCCACAGTTTCTAAATTTTAGGAGTTTGTCATTGTAGTGCATTTTCTTCAACTGCCATAAACTTTTTCTATGGCAAGAAGAGTTCACATAGACACCTTCACAACTTCACCTCAGTATCACCCTTCCACCCCTATTCTGGAAAAACTATATGGCACNATTTTCTTCAACTGCCATAAACTTTTTCTATGGCAAGAAGAGTTCACATAGACACCTCACAACTTCACCTCAGTATCACCCTTCCACCCCTATTCTGGAAAAACTATATGGCACTCTCAACCATGAATATGAGGTTGAACATAATAGATGTCTGTGCTAAGCCCTGATAAGCTTATTGGTTCTTGACAATTCTATGGAACCTAAACCTCCCAAAGCAGAGACCTTGATAGTGTGCATTTATATTCTGGTAAATGCTTAATTATTTCTCTATCTTGATGATATGTACTACAACTTTTGTTTTAATTTTTTTTTCGGTGGCAGGGGACGGGGGTGGGGGAGCACCCCCATAGGCCACCCGGCTGTCCTATTGAGACATAATACCTCAAAACTAGCCATTGGACGTAGATGGAACATAAAGTATGTGCAATGCTCACTTGAGGTATAAAGAATGGTAACACAGTGTTTAAGGCCATTTCTCCAGAGTAAAAAGAAAAATACAAGGGCAAATTTCAATTAGAAGGTGTTGGTGGGTTGATTCTTCGAGGCTGGTATGAGTTTGGGAAAGACAGAATGAAAAGGGTTGAATGCGTTTGGTTTCAAGGGAAGAGGAGATGAAGAAGAAGGATTGGAATTTGAATATAAGTTTAAAGATTTCGATTTTTTTTTTGGGACNGGTTGAATGCGTTTGGTTTCAAGGGAAGAGGAGATGAAGAAGAAGGATTGGAATTTGGATATAAGTTTAAAGATTTCGATTTTACTTGCCTAAATTTGGATACTTTTGTTTTGACTAATTTTGACCAAATTTGATTGGTCAAAGAGGGCAAAATAAGTCTTTCCATAGTTAAGTTCTCTAATTGGGGTATCAGTGTTATTTTTAGAATGCCAGGGGCTGTGTTATTTGAGCAAATGTCAGGGACCCTATATGAAATCNTTGGTCAAAGAGGGCAAAATAAGTCTTTCCATAGTTAAGTTCTCTAATTGGGGTATCTGTGTTATTTTTAGAATGCCAGGGGCTGTGTTATTTGAGCAAATGTCAGGGACCCTATATGAAATCTATCCAAAATAAAAACACTAAGGATGAAGAGTATTACTAGTAACAAGTAAGTCTGGTGTGAAATTTGGGGGTAACCTGATTGGGCTAACATGAACTCAACCTGAATTTTCTAGTACTTGGGTTGAGGTTTTAATACTTTGAGCGAAAAATTTTAACCCAAATTTATCGAATCGGGTTCAACTTCTTTATTTTTAGGTCAAGAATGGGGTTCAACTTGATTACAAAAAAAAAAAANTCAACCTGAATTTTCTAGTACTTGGGTTGAGGTTTTAATACTTTGAGCGAAAAATTTCAACCCAAATTTATCGAATCGGGTTCAACTTCTTTATTTTTAGGTCAAGAATGGGGTTCAACTTGATTACAAAAAAAAAAAAAAAAATCACACTCTTTATCCATTATTACTGATGTTTTAAGTTTATTGCACGTGTGACATTTATTTTTTCATATTTTCTAATTAGTTTTGACTAATGAGAGTTAAGGTTTAATTTTGGTGTTGAACAAAAAATTGGTCCATATTTTTGGTTCAATTTGGTTTTGATTAATGAAAAACTTGAGTTCAACTTGAATTGTGTAACCCGAGTTCAAGCCGAATTTAAATCCGAATTTAAATATTTAATCACGAGTTGGCCTAAAGTTGGAGTTGTTCGGGTTGAGGTAGGGTTCAGGTCGAAGGTTTCATATCTTGGATTAAAGTTGTCAATTTTCTGACACAACGCAAAAACATGATTCAAAATTAGTGGGTTAGAGGTGATCATTTCTCGACACGAACCCGTAAATAATATAACTTGTGAACACAAATAATAAATGAATCTAGATAGTATTAAACATAAAATTGACATGACTAACATGTTTATAAGAATAAGATGTTATTTTTTTTTATCAAGTACTAGCATAATTTTTATACGAAAAAAAAAGATGTTTATACTCATTTTTGTTATTATATTTATTAAATTAATTTTTAATTTATACAAAATGTATGAGTTTGTGTTCGATTAAGTGGTAATAGAATCTTAAAACTTAAATCTTAGAGTTAAATTTTTTATTCAAGAGTTACATAAGTCAACACAAATACGACATGAAAATAAATAGGTCAGTTTGATATGATACGATTATTTAAATGAGTTGAGTTAGAGTTGACTAGTGCTCATTTTTAACACCCAGACATATGTTGCATAACATTTATTAAAATGTTAGGGTCTAATTATAATTTATGATAATTAATTTAGGAGTTAAATTTCAATTATGAAAAGTGTTAGAATTAGAAAATATTCTGAATAGTAAACCCTAGGGGTTGAATCTTGTGATAAAAATTGTGTATGGGTATAAATGATAAAATGGGGAAAAAATTTTGGGTATAATTTATTAAGTTGCTGTAAGTTAAAAGGTGCGTATGAGAAGGATTCAGAATAATAGGGGGTTAAAGTGTAATTGGGTGAATTTGGGTGCGTCGACACTTGTCTGGTATGTGTGGGTTATATCTGAACACGTATTTGTGTATTTTAGGTAGGTGGGGGGGGGGGGGGGGGGGAGGAAAGGGGGGGGGGGGGGG